TATGAACATTTTATGTTTTTCTCATGTTTTCTGAACACAGTAAATTAGAAATGATAGTACATAGAAACTTAAATAGCTGTACTCCAAAGGATTTAAGAATATTTTCAAAAATAAGCAAATAATTGAAATAAGGTTTGGGCTAAATGGTTATTTATAAGGGTAAAATATACCTACATAAAATGTAGTACAACCATTGACCATGCGGTAACATTAAGAACACAACAATGGCTTAGCGCCCAATTTTCTTATTATTTTCGCTATAATTTATAGACATTTAACTATAGCTAAATGTAGGCTATCCGTAATACTATACAAAGTACAATAATAAAACATAAATCATATGCTTTAAGAACACATTTTACAAATAAAAACAACCTTACTACTTTTATTGTCGGTAGAAACTTGTTTTTAATAGTGTTTGTATACATCCCTTATAATATAATTTTTTTGAAAAAACAATATGTCATTGTAAAAACAACAATAAAATTGTTGCAAGAGTTTTTATACTCCAGCTGAGTTTCATACTTCTTTTAGAAATTCAAATAACGGCTTTCAATAATTTAGTGTCTAATACAACTTTAAGGCATTAGTCGAATTTATTGCAACCACTTCGTATAAANCTCTAATACAACTTTAAGGCGTTAGTCGAATTTATTGCAACCACTTCGTATAAATAGGAATGTCAATATAAAGGTGGATCAATATTTAAGCTATTCACAGCTACATCCAATTCCCGAAAGCTAAATTCCTTGGAACTNGTCTAATACAACTTTAAGGCATTAGTCGAATTTATTGCAACCACTTCGTATAAATACTAGGAATGTCAATATAAAGGTGGATCAATATTTAAGCTATTCACAGCTACATCCAATTCCCGAAAGCTAAATTCCTTGGAACTCTGTACTTCTAAAAGAATGTCTAATAATAATCATAGTCTGTGGTGTAGTATAAATAATTCGAAAACTAACATAAGCTCCCCTTTTGGTTTACGCATTCTATAAATTCGAGACGAATTAACAATAATATTTTGTAAAATTACTTTATTAATAAGTTTAAAATATCTTGTACATGAATACCATTACTTTCTTCAGAAAGTATAGTGCACCTCAATCATTTTGAATACAAATAACTCTTTATTAAACTAATCTGAATAAATAGGTAATGAAAGATAGTACATAGACTTAATGAGTTTTCGTACCAAAGCTGAGAAAATACAAAATTTCGATATATACATGATGAACTTTCTAAAGATAAATCCCTTATGGGTGAGAGTCTAAGTACAAAAACAAGTAAAAAGATAGGGAGCTATTCAATATATCTTTAGTGATGCTAACGAAGTTCTGAATTCATTAAATTCAGTTGCTTTGACTATTCAAAGAATATTTATTTATTTAATTAATAACATTAAATTAATACACACATAAAATTACAACACTATTTAACATCACTTATTTTTTTAAAAACATTTTTTATAGTTTTTGACTACGTTAAAATTATTTATAAATTGTAACGCCAAATATTCACAGGATCAAAAGTTATAAAAAATGTCAAAACCTGGAAGAACATCCTATACTTGTATATATATATATATAGAATAAATCCTTAATTATGTTTTATTTATATACTAAAATAACTTCGAACTTGGAATTACGATTATATATAATTCAGAGTGCATACATTTTTAATATTTTTTACCTAAAAACTTTGAGACCTGATAATATCAAATTTCAACGATATTATACTAATATTTGTTAATATCAAATCAACAATAAAACTGTTTTAGTTGATTCTTAATGACTATCTTTTTTTACAATAATTTAATTAAATAAAAACTTAATAATAATTTAAAATTAATCAATACTAGTTTTTTCTAATTAGAATGAATAGTAAATACTATAACTTATTATTAAACAAAAATAGAGTCAAAAAAAAATTTAATTTGTGATATATTTTATTTACCGTAATTTAAATTAGTTTTTATGCAATACTATTTTTTTTACAAAAGTAACGTAAAAATGTTAGAAACTGCTAATAAATTTATACAATTATAGTTCTATAGATATATTTCTCATTCTCGTCATTTATATTTATAGTAAGTATACGCAATTTAAACTTCATAGTATTCTGAATTTCAGGTATTAATTTCCTGATTCTTGTATTAAGTAACTATATACTAAGGCAGTGTATTAAATAAATTAGTAGAAAATCTGGAAATTAATACATCACAAAAGTGAAAACATAAAGAACCCAGTTTACATTTCTCAGTGAATACCTAAAGTAAAATAAAGCATAATTAAAATTAAAAGGCGTTCTGTCCTAAAATCTGAATTGTAAAATTATAAAATATCGTGAGATACTTGGACGTTAAGTAATAGCAAGTATTTAATAATTTTAATTAATCCATTATTTAATATTTAGCTATTGTTATTATGTTTGCTTTAAACAAATGAATTAAAATCATTTTTTAAAATTATTGTTCATCAAAATTATTCAGTATTTTTAATGAAGGAAAAAGTTCTCGTGAATCAACTTGTATTTTTAATAACGATTTCTGGAAAGTAAACCATGTAGAACTAATTGTAAACAACACAAAGTGTAATGGTGCAAATGATCATCAGTTATCGTATTGGTACTCCGTATTTTGAAATCCAGTACGGAAATTACTACAACAAGGAAGATTATTGGCAGCTGTTGTTCATATTTTCTGTTCCACTCGTCTCTGATAAAAAAAGAGACAAACCCGTGATGACAGAGGACCACAACAATAAGGAAAAGGGGAGATAGTGAATACGAAAAAAGACGCATTGAATTTATTGTAATCGTTTGTTATCATTTCGTGTGAAATCATGTCAGATACTAATGCTGTATATTTTAAGCTTTTCTACCTCAGAACGGTGTTAAACAGTTTCGTTCAAACTTTATCCTTTTATTATACAAAGTGTATCATAACCATAATGTAATATGCACGTAATGTTTAAAATTATAATAATTAAGTAAATATTTATAAATTTTCTACTATGATCTTTTCAAACAACATAGTAGTGTGTAAATATTTTAAGACGATTTGAATTTAAAATTAAACATTCATTATGCATGTGAATACATGCATAATATAATTTAATAAAGAAAGTTTGCAAATTCAATAAATATTATCAGAAAAAATACTATTATTTATACGAATAAATATTTTAACAGATCAAATAAAAAGTCTAAGTAGAACTAAAATTGTGTTACATTAACAAAACTGTAAAATATACTGAAAAAAACTCTACTTTAGGTTTTTATTCAATTTTACACTTTCATTTATCAATATATGTTATAAGTATTTGCAAGAAAAATAAACATATTTATTTCCAGTATGTGATCCATATACTTTGTTGAGTATGATAATATGACACTAACAAGTATTAAACAGGAAAGAATTTTAGCATACATGTCCATTACAAAACAGAACTTCCGGAGTTGTTGGTTTCACCTCTCTTGAATTATTCATTTTGACATTTACTTTGCGTTTTAAACTAACTTAAAGTCTCAAAATAATTTATATTCTAAAAACACAGTGAAACAGCAAAATTGTATACTTCGATATCCTGTAATGAATTAGTTTCAGTTATAGATAACTCATTAATACGCTTAAAAATGATTCACAAGTATTTTAATGACCAGTTTAGAGAAATAATATGAAATATCGAAAATAACAAGAATTTTTTACATTATAATGAAATAAAAATTTTAAATAAATATTGTTTTATTGGCTTGTGTTAAATTTTTAATAAAGTATAACGCTTCAAATATTTTCTGGTGTAATTTGCATTATTAGGTGAAAAGAGTTCTTCCGACTGATTATATTCTTTTTTTTTACATTCGAATTCAAATAAATTTACTAAACTAAACTAATCTGAATTGACTTTTAAGAAATCTTCTATAATATACGATATTTCAACTGAGAATTTTCAATATCATTTTACACAACAATAATATTGTTGCTCTAAAAGTTTTATTAGATATAAAAATGTAAAAGTATTAAAATCAGTTTAATACTTTTTTTCATTTGTATAAATCGTAAAAAGAAACGAACCATTTAAAATGGTCAATACAACTAAAATATCGAAATGTTACGCTTTAAATGCTTTTGACATTATTACAATTCACATTATCTGAAAAACTATAAACTCAGATATCTTTTTGAAGATTCAAGTAATGTGTTTTTTTAATCAGTTATAAATTATAGTGTCTTACCTATCATCATTCACAACATTCAATATTTCAAAGAAAGTTCTATTATTTATAGTTATTTCCGTATTTATGGTCGATTTAATCTTTAACCACAAGTATACTTCGAATAAGATCCATAAGATTTTTGAGGGTAACTGCTCTAAGTTTTAAGGAGTATATTTATACTACTTTATTTCGCTTTCAAAGATCAGACCAATCGCCTTTGAAGGAAATTTAACTTTTTTCTTCAATTTGTTTTACATTTGATTTATGAAACACGCTTAGTTGCCTTAGCTCATTTTCTCATTTTTTCTATTTAATCGAAAAGAATAGAGATATCTATAATAGCCAATTCATCAACTCAAACACAATAAGCTGTAAATTGAAAAGAATTTTTTCATTTTCAACAAAACTTAGAAATAACATTTATTTTTGAAAATAACGATGAGGTATTATTTTCAAGGAAACACATCTCAGCAAAAATTGAATTGAACAAAACATATATTTTTTTAATTTTTATAAATATACAAAAGACAAATGTTGAGTGTTATACAACTACGATTACATATTGCATCGTTTAGTTTTTAAACACAATAAAAATTATTGTTATAAAATTCTTTTTGTATAACATCATTTAAGCATTAAAGTCCTTCAATTTTCGAGGGATTGACTAAAATAACAAATACTATAGCAGAAATTTATTAGCTAATAAGTATAATTATACGTTTGAAATGATTATTTGATTCATATACCCACACATATTAGAATTAATTTCATCTACTTACGTTTATCTCAAAATGTTGAGGTAGGTAACAGGCACTTCATATGTTATTTTGAATACCTAAGACAAACACAAAAGTAATTTAAATATCTAGTCAAGGACATTACCCTCAAAAATTGAAATAATTTCTCTCGTTTCCCGTAAAATCGCTAATTTTCGAAATTTTCAATTTTTTTTACTTAAAATTGCCATAACTTTTTCAAAAATGAACAAATCAATATAATTTTTTTATAGATGTTTGATGTCTTTACCTATCATTTGGTATATTTTTTTATTAATTTGACCCTTTACCTGCCCACAAGGGGGATTTAAAATGACAACTTTTTCACAAAAAATTAATTTTTTCAACTTAACTTTTGAAAGTTTTCCGGAAAGTCTGACACTTTTATATATATCTTAAATTAAAGGTAATGTAATGTACTTTATTATGGAAAAAAAAATTTCGGACTTTATTTTGTCTTCGCGGTGAAAATGGCTACTGAATGTTATTTCTGTGTGAAAATTCTCGATTTTATTTTTACATTTTTAACTTTATAATACTGTAACTTATTGAAAAGTGTATGAATCAACACAATTTTTTTATGATATATAAATTTTATTATATCCCATTTTCTTTCGACATACTACATCTTAATCAGAATATTAATAAGGAAATAGCAGATTACGTAACTTTTGAAATAATCCACTAATTTTAAAAATTAAACACTATTTAATAATTTGCCTCGAAGCGTTTTTTTGATAGTGATTTTAATCACTGTCAGATATCATTATACTTGATTAAACTATGTCACGTCACCACTGTGCTGCGATCCCCCTGTTCTGGGTTTTTAAATAACAACAATTTCAAGAGGAAGGGTAAAAATTTGTAGCACTCTTTGGAATAAAAATATTCAAAACCTTCTGATGATTTTTCGAAATACGCCACTGACTATATCTTTTTATTGAATTCTTACATTAATTTGTTTTGCATTTATGGATTATATCTATTACAGTAATTTGTAATATTTTAGATTGATATCAATATTTAGCTAATTCCATCAGACTAATTAAAATTTAATTCGTTATAAACGTACATTACTAAACTACTTTGTCAATATAAAGTTTCGCGTTTACCAAATAGATATTAAACTACATACATAATTACAACTAGAGTTCATACCTATGAATATTCAAATAATAAAAACTATCACAAACCCAAAGTTAAATTATCACAACTCTATAATAATTAAAAAATTTTAAAAACTTTAATTTTTATGCTCTTATGTATTTATTTTAAAATAATTATAAGATATTAAAAATGTTTAGTTACAGCAAGAATTTGCTGTAGGTGAACGAACATTATTCTTTTTAATTATTTTTTCAGCAAATAGTTAAATATTTTAAATAAATTGAAATATAATCCTTTATAATTATAACACTAAGATAAAAGAAAAGTCCATGTTTTATCTTTGAGCTAGGTATATAAATAATTTTAAAATCTCATAACCATTTTTTAGTTCTTATTTTGCAAAAATAAAAATGATGGAAAGATAACAACTTGAAGTTAAGTACTTATTGAGTTATAAGCATTAAATACGTAGAGTGGGTTTGTATCTGAATGGGTACAACTCATACAGATGCACTCCATCCGCGTTCATAGCCACCATATACAGGGTATTCAGTAAGTAAGCAATCGGGTTTCTATTGTTTTAATTGTGTTGTAACAATTAAACTGTTTCCTTACTTACAGAACATTCTGTATATTTAAATGCGTGTAACACAATAAGAACGTATCCTAAAGTTTTTATCGACCCATTAATATTTTATACAGAGAATAACTAATAAATAGCTATTTTAAAATTTTGAAAAAATTGAAAAATTAAAAAAAATGTATGTTAGAGACAAATAATAAAAAAAAATTCTTTTACTGTAGTCGATAACTGTAAATTTCTTTAAAAAAAGCAAAGCAAAATTTTTTTGGATCAAAAGTTATTGAAGATGTTAAAACTTAGTAGGACATTTTGTGATTAAAAACAAGAATATTTCTTGTATCGTAATGTAGCTAAAACCAATTCATCCAAAAATAATAGTATCTAAGTAGCCTCTGAGTACTTTTCTATTAAAAAAAAAAAAAACAGAAAATTAACAAAAACAAGATAAAATTTAGAGTAAAATTAGAGTGTCATTGACACCATCACCTTAAATAAAATAAAAAACCTCTGTTACTGAACATATGATACATTTTAATGTATTTTATTCATTTTTAAGACTACTTATTGGTTAAATTTTTATTCTACTCGCGTTATAATAAAAATTGTAGTGATGGAAAAGAATACGTCAAATAAATAAAATAGCTAACAAAGATATAATCATAGACAATATGAAAATATAATTATCATATAGTGTGTGAAATAACCTAATACATTAATTATACACATATTTTTTTATTTTGCCTGAATAAATTTAACATAACATACCAAATTACAACGACCTATTTTCTTTATTTGATTTTAATATCAAATTTCTTTAGACAAAAATAACAACGGTATGTTTATTATTTGTCCTGTGTATGTTTAGGATGTCAACCATATAAAATAACAGACAAAATAATATTATTAACTATCAAAATATCAATTTTTTAAACCTTTTTTTTTTCACAAATATTTATGTACACCTATGTACTGTATTGATAATAAATTAAAATTTATAATACTATAAAAATAATGATAGTTTTTGATAAAAAAAGTTACTTCAAACCAAATGTAAATGCTATTTATTTTTAAAAAATAGAATAAAATATTTTTTTTTTAATAAAAAAAATTGACATCTAATGATTAGTTGGTTATTGAAATAAATAAAATACAATTTTAGTTGTTTCTCGTAATCATAAACAGGCTTGTTAAAGTATTATAATACTAGTATTCAAACACTTTTGGAACGAATTTCTACTTAGAATATTAATTACTTTTTGATGTATCGTGAATTTACTATACTGAGTGAACCATTGTGGTTCCTTAAATAATGAAAACTGTAAACATTGACAAAAAATGTAGTTAATATTTAATGAAACTTAAAGTAAGGCTTATGACAGATATCGAAGGTATGAACTATATTAAATGTCAGGATTTTTAATTTCCTCAATCAACAAAAAAAAAAATCATTAAGTTAAACGAATATCCAAATGTTGAAAGGATTTTTATACTACATAATACACCATTGCCCAGTTCAAGTTGAAAGCGTATTCAGTGCAAGCAATGCCATTATAACAAAACTCATTTTTTCCTTAAAAGAAAAACGAGCGATGTAAATGTTATAAAATTATGTTTATGAATTAAAAATTAATATAATAATGACTATATAAATTAAAATGTTGAATAAAATAAATACATAACTCTTTTTTTGTTGATAAAATGTATTATACCTTGATTTTAAAGATTAACTTTATTTTATTATGAGTCAGAATGACTTAAGACTTACATTTCATATCTAATTAGTTCAACAGATATTTTTAATTAATAATCTAATTGTTATTTTTTAAAGAAAATAAGATTTTTTATAAAATGAAAAACTATTTGGAATACTTTTTATTAATGGTATTCGAATACGTATTGTAAATATATTTTAAAAATATTTTTAACAAGCCTGCTGATAAATAGTAAAAAGAAAACAAGAAATTAGTTTTTTACTATTACATCCGCCATCAAATTTTTATTGTAAGCAAAATAAAAAATATTTTACCACTAATAGATTATTTTTAAATCAGACTGTCAAACTTAAGTCTAGTTTTATGAGATCAAAGTACTACAGGAATGGTTTGAATTTAAGCCAAACTGTTCATTATTGTGTATTGTATATTGTTAGTATATGTGCAGACAGTTGTTAGTAAATGGCAGCTGTGCCGTTGTCTGTTTAATGTTGACCAACAACCATTTTTTTACCTTGATGTATTTCGAATTTTATCAAGAACGAAATCCATTCATACTTTAATTAATTATAAACGAAGCCTAAAGGATGGACCTTTTGAGGGAATCAGATCGTTATAAATAAAGTAGAAATAACAGTAACAGTTAAACATTAAAATTATTATTATACGTTTTCTGTATTATCTCGTAGTTAATCAAACATTATACTGTACATTTACTTTTTTCATTTATTAACTGGAAAAGTTGAATCGTCAAAACCAGGTAATTACTACCATTATAAAGTTAAAATAAAAATACAATTTAAGTCCTTTATTAAGCCTTGCTATTGTGCGCGATCATGTAATACTAATTAGCCAAATACATCAAAACGTAATTATGTTTATTATTATAGGGAATGAAATGAAATTTTATAATAATGTAAAACTCTATACATATTCCAGTGTGTTGTCAATACAGAATATAGTATTAATTTTTTATTCTAATGTGCTTTCATTGTAAAGATAATTTTTATATATTTTGGTTGTTTGTATTATTGTGTTGATAGATATTATTTTACATTGAATTTATCACATGAATAATATAATGGATGAATAACCTTAGTGTTATATACATCATGAAAGCTAACCCTTACCCCAGAGCAATTTTATTTGTATTACTATACCAAGATATTATTATAAACTATTAGAGATGCATAAATACATGTCTTTTTATTAAGTCCATTTCAAATATTTAATTTATTTTAATAAAGTACTCCGTTATTTTTTTTCTATGTATAAGCAATAATCAAGACTTAAAATTTAATCTCTAAGATTTTTTATACTAATAACTTTGCTGTATAAATTATACTCAACAACTTTTAAATTTAATTATCAAATATAAATTTTTCAGGGCGTCCTACAATGTACTGAAAATTCGCATACTTTTCTAACGGTAAATTGTCAAAACATGGTAGGACACCTATATAATGAATATTGTATAAAAATGTCAACAAATATATATATATCAATGGGGATATCTAACCCCTAATTCCCTCTCATTTGACCACCACTGTAGGAAAATATGTACATATATTTTAATGGTTTTGAACTTAATTAAAAAATATTTAGAACAAAAAAAAGAACTGATTTTATACAATGAAAAGTTTATGTTTTAATAACTCTTTTCTTTAAAAGACTACAATGAAACTGATCTATGTGTTTTAAAACAAAAACTATAGTATCTTCATTAGCAATGAATCATTAAAATTTATAATTTTTAGTAACATAATTATAAACGTAGTTTGAATAAAGTTCATTTTTTCAAGTTAAAATTATTAAAAAAGTCAAATTGAATCAATTAAAAAGTATAATTTTTACCATAATGAAAATGTAATTTTTAAAAATCATAAGAATGTTAATTATAATATATTTTTCATAAGATAACTGATTTGCAGCAATAATTTTTAACAGTAGAGTATACACTTTACTGGTATACAGCAAAAGCAAAACAGCATGCAATTTATATTTTCAACGGCATTTATGAAATCACCAAAACAAACACTCTTTGCTAATAGTTGTTGTCGTATTTAGGTTAGTGGCGCAATGAAAAGTTCCCTTTAGCAATCCTTTACTCTGCTTAATGGTTTTACGCAAAAACGACATTCTATCTACTGCTGCTTTGCCACTGGTGTTATCTTTTATCTTTGTAACAAAATTACAAATCTCTTCTGCTTTCTGGACCACATAATTTTCCAAAGAAATGTTTTGTAAGCTAACTCGAAACTCCGAAGATAACAATTCGCTCTTGAAACATAACAATTTCATTTAGTTTGGGACAAGTCGACTACGGGCAATACGTTTTAGTTGCCGAAACTATAGAAAAAGCAATTGCACTACCATTCACCAAGTGTTCACACTTTTATCTCGTTCAAAATTAAAATAGCACATAAAGTCTATTAATGGCTATCGTGACTATCGTACAGAAATTGATTTTTCCAGGGGTAATTTAATTAAATAAGAAAGTAATGTTTTAAGATAAGAACAAAATGACTTCATAATGCATTATTGTGTGCGTTTAATAAACATAACTGATAGCGATGGTACGAGTTCATACTATACAATCTACGGCACATGCATGAATGGGAAAATCCATCAAGATTTTACACGAATTTAGAGATAAGTTATTATTCTATTACGCGTTTGTAAATTAGTACTCAAACTATATACTTAAGTATCAAAAACAAATTTTATATATTTATAATGTTTCATAATCATACTACTTCTGTTTTACATTGTACGATTTAAAACTGATGTTTATCTTAAATGCTTTCTTCTTCGAGTCTACAAATTTAAACCACATATTTTCAGAAAAAAATATGACTGTCGTTAGTCGTTTTAAAAATGGATCATGTATTAATAAAATAATTTAAGTTGAAGAGTTTTTTAGCTTCGATGCGAAGCGGAGAAGGTATTAATTTTACTATGATGTGTTTTTTTTTTTTTTTTTTTTTTT